ACACTATTTTGGTCCAAATCTTCTCATTCTAAGTGCTGCTTTAAATATCTTTTTTTTTTGGAACATCGATTCCAGGCCAACCCACTCCAGCCGCTGATTACTAATTTGCTAAATAGTATTAATATTGTTAATAGCGGTTACAATTGAATTGGAAGCGATAGTTTTAACCCACACGTTCAGAACAAAATCTCTGAAATTGTTTTCGATATGAATTAAGAGGAAATATTTACAATTTTCGCAACTCTTTGATAGCTCTTTGAATTTTGGTTTTATATAAAAATTATTATGTTTTAATTATTATCAAAAATTTTTTTATTGCTTGTTAAAATAAGAAAATTATTTTTGCATCTAATGACACTTTTGTAGATACATTTTACAAACTGATTTCAAGAAAATTACTAATGAATCTAATTGAATTCAAACATATTTTTAAGCTTATTAAGATTTAAATAAAATGAAAAGCCCTGTTGGATATTTAGATTTTAATGAAGAGAGATTTTTATTTATGAAATTTGTATCCAATATAATGCAGCATACTTTTGGGAAAATATTTAACTCCATATGATTAAAAATTTTGATAAACTTTAAGTATAAGTATAACATCAATTAATAAAATCAAAATATTTATAAATTTAGATAAATATTAAATAAATTTATTTTATAAATTTATATAAATGTAAATAATAAATATTTATATTAACAATAGATTAAATGTTTAATTAAGCAAGTATTATAACGATGATCACATCCAGAAAACTCAATATTTATTATATGTAGTTTATATCTAATTTATATTATATATACATAGTACATATAGCCTACATGGTAAAAATAAAAATAATTTATTTAGTTAATGATTTGTACTATTATGCTTTGAAAATATAAGAATTTTATTTATACTTTTTTTTAGAAAAATAAATAATATTTAATAAACAGGCTTTTTTTTGTCTGTTGATGTTTAGTTAGTTATTTAATTTAGGTAAATACCTTATCATTTACTATATCTATATTCTTTTAATCATCAAGAGTAGAGTAAATTATATTAAATCATCAACATTGAATAAAATCAAACTCTTTTGTTCTATGTGTATTAGCTTTTGTTTTCAAGAAAGTGTTTAATTTGTGTTTATTACTTAATATGAATATTATAAATAATATAAAAATTCTACTATAAAAACTTTATAATAACATTTTTTTATTTATGTTACAATCTATTTTTATGTTAGATAAAGACTTGTGGATTTACAATTTTTATCTGCGTTTAAGCTATTAGTAACCTACTTCCGTTCAATATGTTTCCAATTCAAAAATAAAGAAAAAAATTATACTTTGTTAAAATAAAAGACAAATTACGTTTTTAAATGTTGCAAATCGTTGAGTTTTTTTAAAATAACGAACAGACTAAATCACGCACAGTTAATAAATGTTAATAAGTATGTTCGGATTGGTCGGAAAATCGTGCCTATGATTAAATTGTCAGCGTTTGACTCTGTGAATAGCAGGTGTCGGAAAAAATGCATAATTTGCATTATTAATTACTGAATGTGCAAACAAGATTTCATGCGTGTTCAGATGTACATCGAGATAATGTCTACTGACTTGTTTTCATTTAGATAGAAAAAGATGAAAACGTATGAGCCTGCAAGATTTCACATAATCAATCATTTTGATAATGATGAATAACAAAAAGTTAGTTTAGATATTTCGCATAAATATTTGTCATTTTAATTTCATGTCAATTTAAGAACACTGAAAATGTCTAATGAGAAACATCTCTTTAGAAATACAAAGCAAAATTTTGCAGAGTTTATATATTTTCATCTATTTATATCTGAATGAAATAAATCAGTTGACATTATGTCGATGTAATCTGAACACGCATAAAACTATAACTGAACTCTACTTTTATGTTCCGATCATGTGATTATGGGGAGTATAATCACGCTTATGAGTTAGCGATTAGCAGTGATACTTCGATAGCACTTCTGGTATGAATTCCTATTCTTAACAGTCACAGACGAAAATTGATATTGATAACTTTTTATAGCAGGGGAGCAGGACACTGTCTAATCTTACTTAAGTATCCAAAGGTACTTTAAATCTAGACATAATTACTTAATTTACAAAAATATAATAGTTATATTAAAGATAAAATTAGATCCCACAGAGCATTTAATTACAAGACGACATGGTGCCATGCTGGGTTTGTCTTGACAAAATTCCTATAAATCGTGTTCACCAACACTTGACTAGAATATATGTGTCACTTTCTTGAAGCTTGCCCAGATCCAGACATGGGCACATTCTTTAACTAATTTCATAATATCTTCAACATAAAAATAATGAAATATGTACTTGCTTTCATCAATGAGTCCAGTTTATTGTAAAACGAAGAGTGGGTACTTCAAGATATCCTTAAAGATGAATGTACCCAAGATTTCAAGATTATTAGAAATTTTTTAGGAAATTATGGTGAAGAGTAATAGTTGTTATTCAGCCTTTTTATAATTAATATTAAAGAATAGTGTTTAAGAGGTCCGTCCATTTCTACAGCTCAGTGCATACAGACTTTTAGTACTATGAATATCAACACTATTAATCATAATTAAGTAAAACATCAGAATTTTGAAAAAAGAATTGTTTTTGTGAAATTGATCTTTTACGGATATAATAGACTGCTTAATATATAAATGCAACTGGAATGTCTTCTGTATCTTTGGATTAAATTAAACTTGATTATAATTCAATGACCTTAACATTAAAAGCAACCGCCTTCTTTTAAACAAAAACTGATCTGCAAATTAGTAGATCTATAATGCATAACCCAAAAATCATGGAACCGCAGAACATAACTCAAAAAAACACCTCAAATCTTCTTAACAAAAACAAAAACAATAAAAAACTAGCGAAAAAAAATTATACTTTTTTACTAAAATATTTGTAAATGAATTTTGATTGAGTTTTTGTGCTCGACTGAATCATAAATTTTCACAGTTGAAAAAAGCAGAAAGATACAAAAAAAATCTATAATGAAGTCTTAAATTTACTTCCACGATAAAAATCTTAAGTACTTTAAGCAAAGAAAATTTATTTGTCCTTCTGTCAATGGTCAATAAAAAACCAATAAATATCACAAAACTCAGATGAGACCTAGATAACAGCTTACAGGTCGGAAAAGTTATGCTGCTTAGTGGCTAGTGTTTGCTCTTCAACTTGTTAACAAAATTTTACTTTTTTACTTTTTTCAAAGTGTTCTCTTATTATTTTCTTACTGGAAACCTAAGCGCCAATAATTAAAAAAATAAATGTTTACAGTAACAACAATCAGACACACTTTAATCTATCAGCAAGTTACAAGAATATAATGATCAGTACCCTATTATTAAGTTTTTAACTGATGCATGGATATAAGAAACCCCGAATATGTAAGTATATATTTATTTTGGGAAAAATTAATCAACAAATGTTTTTATGATACACTGAAATGAAATCTCAATGTTATGAGAAAAATGTACTCCAAAAACTTAATGAAAATAAATGTTCTCTTAGTACTTAAAATCATTCCCTAGTATTGCCCAGAGAACATACATATATTCACTAACACTAAAAACAAATATTCTCTTGGTAGGTAAAATCATTCTCTAGCATTGTCCAGAGGGCATATGTTCATCCAGTAGCTGTTCGATATCGCCAATGTGAACATTTGGGTCATTGGCCTTATTATTATAACAACGCAGTAGTTTTCCGAATAAAACAGTGATGTCCTTATCTAAAGTTCCTAAAAAGAGCCAGCGGATCTTTAAACTATTATATTACAATGGATTCACTCTATAAAATCTAAAATGTCCAAATGGTTAACAAGGCCTCACTGGAGGCGTATGGATTAACTTAGGGCCGATTTCATAGTCGTATTTCAAGTATCAAAACTTGCTTAAATATAAATTAAATCAGTAAAGTTGTTCACTTAATTATGACTTAAGTCAATACTTCCACTCAAGTTATGTCTGTGAAGATGGCCTTTAGTTTTCTAAGGCTTGACTAAATTGGAAGTGTGACATTCGTAAGAAGTTAACGCACAATAAAAAAACATTCAAAGTAACCAGAATTAAAGATTTTGCATAGATGACTTTGATGGATTACGAGAAGCAGCGACTAGAGGATTGTGATCAACTTTTTAGCGCTTATTAGCTGATATAACAAATACAACTTCGTAAAAGAACAAGAATGGATCGTTCAACATTATTATTTCAATAGTATATATTCCATAGATAAGGCGATATAGAAAATATGCACTGAGTTACTAAACAAATAAATAACAACCGAACGAATATGGTTTGTCTTCGGATTTTTTTAAAGTAAATCCGTTACTGAAGAAGAATATCTTCTAAAATTATTTCCGAATTTCGATACTATTGCTGAAGAAACAGAGTACCTTCTCAAATACCTAGAAACCCTTGTTTTTTATTCGCAACGTTCAGCCAAATCGAACTTTAATCATATTTTCTAAATGCAATTGCACAGGAAGTGCCAGTAAATCTACAGCAGTGTTAACAACTTAGATTTTTTTTCTTCTCTTGAACGTTTGCTTGGCACACTTGTAGATTCTTTGTAGCTTGCTTGCCCATCTTCGTTTATGTAAATCCGCCCAACTGGGCGTCGGGCTACTTGTGTTAACAATTGTTTGCATTTTCTTTCATTTCGTATAAATAAGAGAAACATTTCTGATTTAGAATTAGTTTTGTTTAAACTATCTGTAAAAACGTGATTTTCCTATTAAATTGCTGACGTCATTGATTTGCCGTGAAAAATAACTCAATCGAACAGTAAGTTGACAGTATCAAATTGTCGGAGCTTGTCGAGCGTGTAATTCGGTATTTTAGTCAAAAATCGCCTGCCGGGTTGTGAACTATTGAACACTTACACTTAATTAAATATCTTATAAAGACATATGTAAAAAATTTAGAAAAAAAAATAAGTTTGTTACCAAAATTGCTAAAAAAATGTATAAAATAAAATTGCAGGTAAATAAAGTTGGATATTCTGAATAAAATATTATTAAAACATTTTAAAAGTGTTACAAACTACCAGTTTCATCTTGTGCGAGGTTGATAGTGCGACTAACCCTATTTAACATATGTTTCTCAAAATTATGATCTCTAAGTCATAAGACTTTCAAATTCAAAGTTTTCTTAAATAAGCGATTTATAAAATTTGTTCAAGGCGGACGAATTTTGGCTAAAAGTTACAAAAGATCTTACTTTGCAGCACTTGATCGTTAATATCTTTATGTTCTCACAGCATTGGATTAATCTGTTAAGTGAATTTATCTAATCGCTTAGTAAAAAACAACACCTGGTTTATTTTTACTGAAGACAAAGACACTTTAGCTATTTAGCTATGTATGACATTAGGCCTCACTAAATTAATGGCGCATGTAGTATTAATCTTGTCTGAGCCTCAATGAAAACATATGAGATAGCTTCTAGCTAAAAGTAATCTAGTGTAGTCAATCTTTTTTCTCTACAAGCTGGACAGGAACAGAAAAAGAGATTTGATAGTTTCTGTCTTTTACTCATCGGTATAGTTTATATAGTAGTTACTGGATGTAATACCCATTTTTGGGCATTATTTTAATATTAATTTGAGGTATTAATATCTTATTAATATCACGATATTAAGATTAAAATTTTTCATTTTCATTTAAAAAAATCTTCTTCCTACAATTTTCTACATCCATTTTCGCCAGATGACACCCATGTGTCAGTGTGTTGGTTCTCGATTGCACCATTTACATTAAGACTGAAAAGTTTTCGGAAATTCTCATTTAAAATTCGCGCGCTGTATATTTTTCGATATTTTAAGTTTATGTAGTTTGGCAGCACTGTCCTTAATTACTATGCCAAAAATGAGCTCGATCTGTCAGACAGTTCGTTTACGGCAGCTGTTGAAACCAGTTCACCTCAGTAGTGCGTTGCGAAATGTCTTCGACGGTCGTACGACCGTCCTGGAAGGCTTTGTACCACTCATAAACTTGAGTTTTCGATAAAACTGATTCCCCATAAGCCTTTTGTAGCATTCGCAACGATTCTGCACACGAAATTTCGTTCGAAACACAAAATTTGATGCAAACTCTTTGTTCAATATTTTTTTCCATTGTTTTTTTCGCAACGCCCTACTGAGGTGAACTGGTTTCAACAGCTGCCGTAAACGAACTGTCTGACAGATCGCGCTCATTTTTGGCATAGTAATTAAGGACAGTGCTGCCAAACTACATAAACTTAAAATATCGAAAAATATACAGCGCGCGAATTTTAAATGAGAATTTCCGAAAACTTTTCGGTCTTAATGTACTTTCGTTTTTTGAAAACTCTCTTTACCATTACGTTTGCAGATATGTAAAGTGTGAAATTCTGTCATAAAATATTATAAGTGACCATTTTTTTATAAACTGTTCTGTTGTGTTAGTTTATCAAAATTATTTTATATTTTTAGACACGCTAGCCGAGCAAAATTTTTGACTAAAAGTTCTTGGTAGTCATTAATCTATAACTATACATTTTCTATCTATAGCTATAACATATATATATCTATAACACAAGTAGAAAAGAAGAAAAAACTTGGTATTTGACAATTTTTTTTTAATTGAAACATAGTTTATGTTTTTAATAGATATTTTAGACTAAATAGCAGAAAACTCACAAATCTCTCTAGTATCGTTTGATCCAAATCAAGTATCTTGCAAATGTATTTAGTTTTGTTTCATGTAATACGTAAAATAAAGGCATCAAGGTACTAGTATAACTTGATTCCACTAGAGTAGTATTACTACTGTAACGCTAGTACATTTTAGTCCCAATTAAGTATAACGAGTATAGCATGAAGAATTAACATGAAATAATAATGTACCGTAACCAAAATGTATTGAAATTGAGTTGTCCAAATTTTTGCTTACAAATGATCCAAAAACTTAACTAAACCAATATGAATATTTGACCAAATTAAATTAAATCTTTATATTTTCTTCGATCAATTTTGTTTTTTGTATCGAAACTAATAGTTTCAATATATTTTATTTACTTTCTAAAACAATTTGTCAAATTTGATAAATTTTTTATACAAAAATTCCATACGTGGACTAGCATTTTGCGATGTTTGAAGTGATTTTACTTTTAATTATCATTTATAATTTTCTAAATACACAAGATTAAACTTTAAACTAAGCTATCAGTTTTTTTTTGTTTTTTTCTTGCTAATATTAATGCAAATATTTGTTATTTATATTTCCTCAGCTAACTGCTAGCATTCTGTTGGTAATTAGCCTAGTCACCCATTCTGATTGTCAACAAAGTAATATATTCAACCAAACACCGTTTCAACGTCAACAACTGCAACAACAACAACAAACTCAGCGATTACGTCAACAACTGCAACAACAACAGCAGCAATTGCAGCGTCAACAACCGTTTCCAGCCAATTTTAATAATCTAAACCAACTTAATCCGTTAGCAGCTCTTAACACTATACCGCCAATTGCACCTATAGGTCCGCAGGTAAATAAGATTATTAAAATTTTTAAATAAAAATGTAACAGTTAAATAAAAACATAAATAAAAAATTAAATGAAAGGAAAGAATTAAAAATATATAAACGATTCCTGGGTTCGAAAGTCAGTTAGACTATTTTCTGCTGTATGCCGTCTTTCAAACGTTGCGTTTGTATCATTCATGTTAACTTTTAGTTTCTAAACATTTGTACTTCTATTCTATAAAAAGATTTCCACCTGACATCTGGGCCACTGGCAGCAACTGATTAAAATTTAAAATAGAGATTTAAAGAGTTAAAAAGAGTTATTTATTTTAAGAGATGTGCGGACTTCGTATCTCTAAAAAAAAGGACAAGTTACACATATTTGCTCTATTTGCAGTACAGTGGGGTGTTAAACTATAAAGAAAAATTAAATAGACTTTGAAAAATAAAATTTTTTACAAACATTTTTAAGTAACAGGAATCAACAATTAAGATTTAATATAATAAACTTAATCACTTTTTCCTCAGGCATCCTTTCGTCCATATAATCAGTTAACACCACCAAATTTTGTGCCAATCACAGCCTATCAGAACGATTTGAATTATGATGGGAGTTTCTCATATGGTTACGCTTCTGCGGATGGTACAACAGCACAAGCTCAAGGTTATGTCAAAAACCTTGGTCTTGGCGAAGCCGTTGAAGCGCAAGTAGTAGAAGGATCCTATTCGTATACGTCACCAGAGGGAACACCCATAACAGTTCGTTATATAGCAGATGAAAACGGTAAAATCACAAAAAAATATATTATAGGTTAATTATGTTATTAATACGTAAACATTAATAAATGTTTTTCTATAGGTTTCCGAGCCGAAGGTGCACATATACCCACACCACCGCCCATACCTGATGCTATTGCTAAATCTTTGCAATATATATCTTCCGTACAACCATATCAACAGACACTTAATCCCAATTTAAATCCATATCAAACACCGTTTAGACAATTTCCACAAACACAGAACTTACGTACCGGTCAACAATTGACACCACTACAGTTGCAACAACAACAGCAACAACAACAACGCTTCTTTCAACAAAATAGTGGGCAGTACCAACCGGAAAATCAATTTGGAGGTGGCGTAGCACAGCAGTCTGGTTTATTGGGCTCTAGTAACTTATCGGGACAATTTGACGGTCAATCGGGCATCTTATCACCAAGCAATGATTTAAATCAAACAGAGCAACGGAATTTACAACAAAAACAGCAACAACAGAATTTACAAAATGCACAACAACAGCAGCAGCAACAACAACAAGCCCTTGCAACACAGGAGCTACGTGAACGCAACAATCAATTTGTGAGTCCTTTCGGTTACAACCAATATCGTCGGTATAAGAAGGCCACAAAAACCTGATAATTCAGTATTCTGTTAATATTTAAATCTGAGAAAAGGTTTTTCTTATGAGTTTTACTTTTAAATTATTTAAATTTTTAATATTACATTTTGTTAATTTAGTTATAAATTGTAAGTTTTACGTAGAAAGTAAGTTAGCCGTTTAACATGTAGTAATCGGAAAACATGAAATACATGTGCTTAAAAATCCAAGTTTTATTTTGTTTTATTTTATTTCTATTTCTTCGAGATTAAAAATTTAATTTTTATTAATTTTATAACCCTTTTGTTAATAGTTATATTAAAAGCCTATATTATTATGAATAAAATAATAATTTATTATACTTAATTTTATGCGCTCAATACTTTAATTATGAATTTTAATTAACCGAAAAGTATGCAACAGTTTTTAATAAGCAAGTACACTAACCCAACATTTTTAGCATAAAATTACTAAAAATTAATATTAAATTAATAATTAAATTCGTTCTTATTAATTATTATGATTTTGAATATAATTAACATTTTCAACAGAATAAAATAGATAGATAGAAAATGATAGATAAATAGATAGTTTTCTATATATGCTTGGGTATCGTAAATTTGATTTATGCATTCCAACTGAGGTTTTAAGAGAACCTGTATGTCAAGAAATTGATCTATTCAAAAACTATATACGTTTTTGTAATAATATCCCGTGCCGATAAAATATTTTAATTCAATAATTGATAGATTATAGATTATATAGGAATATCTATGATAAATATAGTTAGGCAAAGAAATTCTGCAAGTAAAAACCTCTAAGATCATATCTATAATTAGAAATACGAATAAATGATGGGATTTTATATATAATGTGACAACATATTGAAAATAGACGGACGTGTAGAGTGTTTAAAGTCTGATTCTAAATTATACGAGGGCGATTTGATAAGTCAATGACTTTTTGAATAAAATAAATTTTTTTTCGGCAAATGAACATTTTATTTTTCTACATAATCACCTTTTAGCTTTATACATTTAGGCCAGCGTTTTTCTAATTTTCTTATTCCCTCCAAATAATAGGTTTTGTCAAAGCTCTGAAAATACGCGTTTGTTTCGGTAATGACTTCTTCATTTCACTCAAATCTCTTACCGTCCGGCCATTTCTTTAGGTTTGGAAACAGAAAATAGTCACAGTGGGGTAGCAGTTCGTATCCCAATTTGCGGATTTTGGGCACGAATGCTTAATCAGCACACGAAATTCACTTTTTTCCATTTTCGTAAAAATTCACGAGGTAGTCTGCTTTGAACGAAATTATTTATGTACTCACCTTTTGGAACAAGCAAATAGATTGAGTGTAGAGTAGAATACTAAGTAACCGGAAATACAACAAAATTAGACACATTCATATATGATAAGTAATTATATAGCTTTTGATAATATCCTAACATAAATTGATACAATACAATTCATCCTACTATTAATAGTTGCCCCTCTATAAGTCTGTCTATTTAGTCTGCTTTTTTAAGAGTTATGTAGTCTCCCTTTTCTTTTTCTTCATTATTGGTACTATATATATGAATGCCTAACAATTTGTCATAAATAATTTGTTTTTAGAAAAGTGAACTAAGATAATGCTGATAAATTCTTTACCGATTAAAAGAAATTGTTTGCAGTGACTTCATCTAAAAGTTCCGACAGTAAACGTTGTATATCATCTGAAAGTTCCAAAACGATATTAAACCAGAATTCAATTAAACCGGAAAATCGAGTGCGATGCAGTTAGTTTTTATTGCAGGATCTTCATTATACTCCAATATTTGAGTATCGTTGTTAGCTGTCATCCTGACTGCTGTCAGATGACTATTTAAAATTAATAATGAAAAAAGGTGTTTCAAATTGATACCAGCTATTCAAAAACTTTCGATTTATATTCAAATTCTTTGAATATTTTCTGTGTTGTATTGACTCCAAAGAAGATTGCTTCGAATTAACAGTGACAAAAAACTTAAAATAATAGTATTTTATAGTAATTTTTTTTGGACTAGCTTATTGGATCTGAGACAAACTGTGTAACCCTATAGTTAATGATTCCAAATAGGTTAATCTATTAAGTTTAAACCATATAATTAAAAAATCTATATATTCTATTGCACTTTCTTGACATTCCAATTATCAGGACTATACACTAAGCTAGGTGTAAGAGTACTAAGCAACAGCGACTCTACAAATACGTTGAAGATGTTTCAGCCTTTAGACATACCAAGCCAGATTTAAGCATTCTTTAAATTATTATAAGTAATTGCAAACATTTATAAAGAGGAGTAATTCCTGTGATTATCTTTTTTCAAAAAAATTTGTAAAAAAATGGCAAATAAAATAATGTGTACAAACATTATTTAGGTTACTTATTAGAGCAGATTTCTGTGTATCTTACAAGTTTCATTTGTAATACATAAAAATGTATGAAGCCGTTTTAAGACCTCTACTCCTCAAATAAGTTGTACTGAAATTTTAAAGTGCATTACCAATACGAAATTTATAAACCTTTACAGGTTATAAATTGTAGCTCATTTAGCGAAATCGTTTTTCGCAATTAACCCTTTAACAAAAAATAAGACAAAATTTGAAAAAATTATTTCTCAAATGTCGACTAATCAAATAGAAAATGAAATTTTTTATATCGAAAACGTGACAAGAACTCAAAGTTTAAAATTAAATGCCAAAAATATAATAAAATTAATTTTAGAAGAACTCCAGTGTCCGAACGATGCCACAATTTTTACGCGTCATCTCTTGTCCGTGCTGTGAAAATTGCTTTGTTTGATTTATTTTCTTAATTTTTTATATACAGTTTATCTTTTTATTACTATTTTAGATTTAAGATTTTCCATAAAGCTGAACTATGAACTTTTGACTGGGAGTACAGTACGCAGGTAAACGGTTAAATCGGCTGCATTGCATACTCAGTTCGAGCGGATGGCAAAAGCAGATCAAGTAAACTCAACAGACTGGAAATGTGAGCTTCTTCTTTGAGGAAACTGCAATTTTTCTATAAGCATTTGAATTTTTTTAATAGCAAAATAATACAACATATTAAGTAGCAATAAAATGTTAATTCTTATTTGAACATTGACGTTTTTATCAGCAACTTTTACAGCCTATCATTTACATGTTTATTAAGTTTTATCTTTGCTATGAAAAGACAAATTACTTCAAATTTAATTAATGATGATAATATGCATTGGTGTTTGAATAATGATCATTTATCAAATATTCCGACAATTTGAGCTCGCGTAATCTTCACCGCAAATAGCCGGTTTCACGGTTCCGTCATTCTCACGTGCGAACATGAATCTTCTGTAGAATTGCGAAAAAAAAAATTCCAAAATATTGCAACTGAGAATAATAACATTACGCATTCCGAGGTTCATTACAGGTGTGACCAATCGATTAAAAATTAATTTTTGCTTAATTCCAATGTCTGTAAATCTAGAAATATATTTTCAAATAATTACGCTAGCGTTTTATTTGTTTTTGAGAACATCTTTTGCATTACTTAAACACATTTTAGAATTCCAGTCTAAAATAACATTAACTGTGTCTAATTTCTCAAGTTAGGGACTGCGAATCAAATAATTATTCTTTACAAAACGTAGTAACCTCCATTGGCGACATTCACCAATTAAAGGTAATTTCAATGTAAATTGAATAAGTAAAGGGTAAGTCGCTTCAAGGAAAAATTATATATAAATTGATTGACTGTCATGACTGTCATGAGAGAAACAGTGACCTTTTTTAAAGTAAATTTTTTTTGTCGAATATGACGTATCTTATGACGAAAAGAAAACTAGAAGGGTTCAAACCGTATGTGGACAGTCTTACGAAGTCTGAATCTTTTTTGTCGAATATGAGGTGTCTTATGACGAAAAGAAAACTAGAAGGGTTCGAACAGTATGCGAACAGTCTTGCGAAGTCTGAATCGGCCATTCAAATCTGTGAACCGAAACCATATTGTGGATTAAATTGGTCTACAACTACGTCGCTGATTGATAAATGGTTTACAGCCGAGAGAAGTCGCTACTGACACGACATTCCATGTAACCATCAGGTTACAGAGCTGGTTCATCCCTACAGTTATGGTATGGTATCTTTCTTCAGCAGAACAGAGTTAAGGTTGCTGGTGGAATATTTAACGAGTCTTCATGGATTGCGTTATCATCTTAACAAAATGGATCTGCCGGAAGAGATGGATTGTCGATAGTGCTTAGAAGCAGACAACACTTGCAGTCATATTCTTTGTAACTGCCCGGCCTTCATCAGGGCCAGGAGGAGGTCACTGGATCGAGAACTACTCTCTCCTTCTGACATTACGAGATCTTCAACGGCAGACATGTCGGTTTTCATTCGGAAGGCGAAATGTCTTCTGTTCGGTTAGGGTCTGTTGCAGCACACAAGATCAATCATGGTCGCAGTACTCCGCTTCATTAGGAGGTGGTACCCTGTTTATTTCTATTCTATTCTATTCTATTCTAGGGTTCGAACTGCAATGAAGAAACAACAGCTACAAAAATTTGATGAATTTATTGAAATTTAGCTTAAAATCACTGATAAGTGATAAGTGCTTAGAAATACTCGAAACAACGTTGTATGGTCAACCAATTTTTTTGTGTGTTTCCCTAAGTTCCCCCAATCAGTTTTCGACCACATTCAAATTGTAACTTTACTCTTTTAAAATTTATAATATACATTAAAGTAAGTACAATTAAATATAGAGCTAACTCCTCCCCAATTCTTTGGCTAAGATATATATTTAGAGATGTGAATAATCTGTGCATATCACACGCAACATGCAAAAATGATGAAATTCTTTTAATATTTAGCAATACATTATATTGTTGATTTGAAATTGAATATATCCTTCTTTATGTATAATAAAATATAGAAATAAATATAGTCAACCATGTACACATAGTATAACTCCTCTTTAAAAGGAGAAATTCTAGCGATCTCATTGAGATACCTCTTAGAGGTGTTAGTCTTATAATCAGATTCCTGCTAGTATGCTATTTCTAAGAAAACCATGTCAGAATAATAAATATTTTCTTCATTGATTCTTGCCACAGCAGTGAGAAAAATAAGGAATGTATTTCAGATACGCTTTGTCGCTGATAAGATTAATTCCATTTTCCATTCTTCATATAATACATATTATTATCTTTAGCTAATTTAATATTAGCAATACATTTTATTTACTTAAAGAATACTAATTTAGAATATTTGCTTTACATTTCCACACTTTGCTGCTTGGAGACAATCTATTCTAGATATATTGCAAAGGACTAGAATTATTGTGGAATCCATCAGAAATAAAAGAACAAATTTAAATTTGCTTAGGTTATTACTGCAATTGGATTCAACCCTGGAGGGTTAAAAACGGTGTTAAGCCTTTTATAGACTATAGATACTTTCAGAGAGGAGTGTTTACAAGCTATCTGCTAAAGATTTCGTTTAAGAAAATGTACCCTAACGATATTTACATTCAATTGCTATTATAAAAATAATATTTCAATAAATTTAAGTTTTTAAAACATTTTTTTTTATTTTCACATTCACATCGCGCTTTTCGTAAGCATTTAAAATAAATACAATAAATTGAAGTTAAAAGAAAATTCTTTAAAGATAAACGTTTTCAGATAATTTACAAAAATTTTAAGCAAAAATTTTTGTTTTAAAATATATTAATAATTTCAAAAGATTTTCTGTAGAGTTTGTAAATCTAATTTAAAATTAATAATTAATAAAAAAAGCGAAAAGTTCACAAACACTTGGAAATTACTTAAAAAACTAAAATCCTTTTTATAGGATTTTCTTTAAAAAATTAATCTAAATAATTTAATGATTCGAAAGAGGTTAGACATGGCAAGCATTAAAAATATCAAATAAATATTAAAAATGATAAAAAGTTACAAAAGAATACATCTTAGTTCTACGAGTATTTTCGGCAGATGATGTTTCAGAGAGACAGTGTTCAAGGAGATTGTGTTTAGAAGTGCAATAAATTCTACATCCATGAATCTAATAATTGTATCCTGTTTGAGGATTAAATTCACCATTTCCAGGCCGACCGGCGGCTGGGGGAATATATTGCGTACCGGGCCCACCAGCGCCACCAGCACCTCCTCCAGCTCCACCGAAACCGCCAGCACCACCACGACCAGGTGCTTCAGGACCACCTCCAGCTCCACCGAAACCACCAGCACCACCACGACCAGGTGCGCCAGGACCACCAGCTCCACCTCCAAATCCTCCAGCACCACCATGTCCTCCAAAACCACCCGCTCCTCCTTTACCGGGTGCTCCAGGGCCACCGGGACCACCACCATAACCTCCAGCTCCACCAGCGCCTCCAGCTCCACCACCTGCACCGCCACCATAACCTCCAGCACCTCCACGACCAGGTGCGCCAGGACCACCGGCTCCACCTCCAAATCCGCCAGGGCCACCCTGTCCTCCAAAACCACCCGCACCTCCTCTACCGGGTGCTCCAGGACCACCTGCACCACCACCATAACCTCCAGCGCCACCAGCACCACCACCAAAACCACCAGCACCTCCATGACCTGGAGCACCAGGACCTCCGGCTCCACCTCCATAACCGCCAGCACCAGCACCAGCGCCACCACCAAAACCACCAGCACCTCCACGACCAGGTGCGCCAGGCCCTCCAGCACCACCACCATAGCCTCCAGCTCCAGCTCCAGCGCCACCACCAAAACCACCAGCACCTCCACGACCAGGTCCTCCAGCGCCACCACCATAACCACCAGGACCTGCACCACCACCATAGCCGCCAGCACCAGCGCCACCTCCAGCACCACCACCGAATCCACCGGCACCTCCACGTCCAGGTGCACCAGGACCTCCAGCTCCACCACCATATCCACCACCTCCAGCACCTCCGCCGTAACCTCCAGCTCCGCCATAACCTAAGATTATGCATAAAATGTTAATACATACATTACATTAAACAAAATATATACTAACCGCCAGGTCCACTAGCACCAGGTCCACCAACAAAACCACCGCCAGGTGCCTGTGAGATACCTTGTGCTGCTAATGCTTTAGCAATAGCTTCTGGGATTGGTGGGGGTGTTGGTAAAGCGTCGCCTGAAGGCTGAAACCCATTCTCATCAGCAGTATAAGTAATTTCAACTAGTTCACCTTCTGGATTAGTGTAGGAATATGAACCAGCAACTGAGGCAACTTCATTCTGTGAGCCCTTATTTTTAATAGTACCCTCTTCCTGTGCCTTAATACCATTACCAGTTTCATAGCTAAAGCGATAATTTCCGTCACCGTCATTTTCATTAACATATGAGAGAATTGGAATTTGTGGACCTGAAGGTTGGGAAGGCCCAGGAGCAGGACGACCACCAAAACCACCGCTTGGTGGACCAATTGGTCTTGAAGGTCCGCCAGCACCTGAAAAACCACCCAAACCATTATTTGGTTGACCAAATGGTCTGCCAGGACCACCGGCACCAGTGAAACCGCCTGGACCTTGCAAACCAGGCCCACCGCCTGCAGAGGCCGCACTGGCAGGTGGCGGTAAATATTTGTTGTCTAAACGAGCGCCATATGTCACCGCCAGTAGCGTCAGTAATAAAAGCTGTAATGAAAAATTAAAAATGATTATTTTTTAATATAGATGCAATGTATAATCGTTAAAATATAAGTATGCAAACAAGTTGAACGCTATGATTGGGTCACTCAGCTGGTCACTCGGTTACTTGGTTACTTGGTTAACGAAAAAATTACAGCATGTAAGTAAGTAAATTGGTGTGGCATTGCTGACATTACCTAAGAAGCTGAAACTTGAATTTCGCCTGCAGTTGCTTTGATTTTTATTTTCTAAGCCTAACTACAATGCGCGCTGTCGATATTTTGGATGCATCCGCGTCTGTGAATGCAACGTTATGATAAAAATCTCGCGATACTGGCAATTGGCATTTAAATCGTTTTGGGGCTGGGAACTTTTTTACAAATTTTATTGCTTTTATTTTGTGTGGCAAGCAGTGTTTGCAAGTAATGAATATGACAAACAATGCGGCACGAAGAGAGTCACAGACTAAGCCTGAGGTACTCTCAAAGTCGAATGGTGTATAGATGTAGAGGGATGGGACTCATTAGTAGCGCATTAATTTCACATCTATATGAACCTAAATTTCAATTCAAATTACTAAACATAGAAAATTCTTAATTAAGCCACTTGGATTACGCAAAAGGTACGAGTATGTGTTCTTCACTCAAAGCAAAAACAAAAGTGAAGGGAATCACTTTGCACTCTTCAGTAGGTCACACAACTTAATTCCATGTGTTGTCATGCGCTACTGCGCCCAGACTTTAGTCACAACTACCGCACAGCTTGAACTCCAACTACGGTTAAAGCGCTGAAGCACTGAAGCACTTATACACGTGAATACACATCAAAATCACCAAAACTATTCGCCAAGCGTACTAAACTAACGAAACAGCATTCATGCAGAATTCTTGGCTTGGAGGCACATTCTGCAGTTAACACAATGGCAATCACAGCCGCCAACAGCCGCCAACAGATGAGACAAATGCTGCATTAGGCAAAACATCAATGACTTTATTTTTAATTTTTGCTCAAAAATTTTGAATTACTTGAACGGACAAAGGTGGCAGCAAAGTAGCTGCGATGCTGCAAAATGCATGAATGAAGTGCAGAACTGCACTTGGCAAATCTGGCAAAAATGATTTACGTACGGAAAATCACGTTGGCGAGTGAAATATGGTTTTTCGATATCACGTTCTCATAAAAATAATGCTAAGCAGTAATAAAAGATTAAGAAACTAAACGCAGTCTTAAGGCTTTGGAAGAGGCTACAGGCTTTTTTAATTTGAATTTTTTTTTTCTAATTTTAGCTTTTGTTCAACAGATTTGCGCCTTGTTAAATTGCGATCTTTGACATTTTTACTGCGTGTCGATTACCTACTGACAATGCTAGGCAAGTTAGGCGAGTTACTATGCGGTTACTTGGAGTGCGATGAGACTCCTCTAGCGCATCATATATCACGTTTTATCACAATTTTTTTGTCTATAGTTATTGCCCTGTTAAGTCAACATCGTGTTACTTTTGAACAAATAAGAATTCATACCAAAAATGTCAACTCGATGAGATTGGCAGTGCAATGAAGGTCAATGGAGTCACTAACAGTGAAAGGAAGTTGTCATAGATTAAAATTAAAAATGAAAAATATTAAATAAATTTATTCTGTGTCAAGTTTAAGTTTATTATGTATTGAAATACTAAATATATTAAAAAAACATATATATAAATTATATAAAGCAAGAAAAAAAACCAGAATAAAAAAAATTGCAGCTGCTGTACGGATCACAGAAAATTAAAATGCATATTTGAGTTGAAAAAATTCAATATAATTAAAATTAGATCACGATTCTAAAGAATTGATAAAACAATTCAAGGGAAGTGCGGAAGAGGCCTAGAACATGCAAAGTATATAAAGCATATAAAAATTCACACAAAAAAGGCTTAAAATTTAAGTTCCAAAATGTTGACAAAAATATTGTGAGGCAAAGCCAGAGAAGCTTAGAAGTGATTGTTACTGTATAGTTATCGAACCTTTCTGGACAATATTCACTATTTAAACTGCATTAGTACTCGTACTTAGAAAATTCAAATACAAATTGTTTGAAAAGTCATAGGTTCATACGATTTAGTTATATCAACTGCAAAAAAGCTGATAGATTTCTAAGTCTTAAAAGATTTCTACTTAAATTAGTCATTGGTTTCTTATTTTGAAATGCATCTATTAAATCACACCTTTCAAAATTGAAACTATATTAGGTACAAATTCTGTAATATGCAAAGAAAAAGGATCCATCCATATTTGCTTTTGTCTAAAAACGGATTTTATGCCTTCTTATGAGGTTCATTGAACCGAATGAGGATAAGAGTCTCAATTAATTCAATAATTTAATTTTGGTTAGATAAAGTTATATCTCACGCTTTCATTTCTTAAAAGTATTATGATTTAGTTGTCAGTAGCACTCTAATTGATAAAATACATATATATGATAGATTGTGACATTACAATAAATAAAACATTTATTTTATAATCTGATCAATACTATAGAAAATATAAAACAAAAGTGTATTTAAACATTTTTAAATAGTATTGAGGAACAATAATTAATAAAAATCAAAAAATATTTTCAAAAACCACCAATGGTAGCTATTTGGTAGTATTCGAAGTTGCTGTATGGTGACCCAAAAATTCAATTGTTTAATTCAATTGTTTATAGATAATACTACTACTGAAATATATTACTGATCAAAAATGTTTTTATTTAAAATATTAGTTTCTTTCGTTACATTTGACTTTAAATTAAATTTAGGAAAGCAAATCAATTTTTTAATTTATTTATAACAAAAGATGTCCTTTTCAGACAGGGCTAAAATTGCTGGCAGACTAGACTACCTAACCGGACTTATTAAGATTTTTAGTCACATTTTTTTCGGCTTTATTCTTAGCCCAAAAAATAGCGTGCTGAAGCGCTCGTGGTTATATAATAAAAGAAATGCAGAACAAGAGTTAGACTGAGCCGTAGTCCTACATATACGAGGTTTCAATTTTCTAATTTTATTTTTATTAGCTTCATAAATCTCCTTTTTTCGTCAAATTTACGACGTTTTATTTTAAAAATATTGAAATTCGAAATAAAATACAAATTCATGTCTATATTTGGTATTACAAACAATTTGTAAATTTTAATTAAATGTTAAAAATCTTGTATAGCATATAAGTATATTTGTCGAAAACAATACAAGTGCTCTATTTATTACATATATTAAAAAAATAAAATTTGAGATTAAATGTCAAACCAATTAAAATCTCACCTTCGCAATTCTATTTTCTATACATTTTTTAAGTATGTCACATACATATGACAATTTATATCTAATCGAATTATAATGAATACATGTTAGAATCTGAATTAAATCATTAATTTTATTTACTGGCCACGATTGTGGATAAACATGACACTTTGAGTAACTTTTATGTAATATTGACATCATTGAGACGTATTCCCCCAACTGAATGCATTTTTTTTTTTTACTTCAAAACAACTTTTTCAAAACAGGCGTTGCCTCTGCACTGGAAAACCTTTATAGTAATTCATTCCAAAGATGAATGGTAGCAACTATCACATGCAGATGAAACATTCAAATCGTGACCAACATTATTTCATCTTTATCCCAACTTAAATGTTTAACAATTTAACAATTGAAATATTATCTGCTGCTTAAGAAATTTTGAGCAATTTTTTCTTCTTTTTTTTTTGTGTTAAAAAATTATACCGAAAATGTTAACCTCATGTTAATTGTATGCAAATATGAAAGATCAGAAATTTCAAAATTTTTATTATTTTCATAGGTGCTGTATAATTTAAGTTAATAAATAGTAAGATCTAGCCTATTGCAGGCAAAAGCAAATTAAATTATAATAACAAGGAAAAATAGTTTCTTGAGTTTCAAATGTTATGAACAGAAACCTACCTATTTGTATGGGAGCTATAATTAAACGAAAATCGGTATATCCAAGTATTGTGTATAGCTGTTATTTTATATACTAAGTTCGATTAAAATATCTTTTACAAATGATAGAATCTTGACAATTAGATCATTAGAAATTATATTTATAAAAAACCATTATTAATACAACAATAAGCTTTTATTAAAATATGCAATTAAAAAATTCTTAATTTTATATTGATTTAAATGCAATAAAAAATCATTAATTTAGTTTTTATGGTTCTATAAATATTCTATGTACATATAGTACGTACCAGTATACATACAGACCAATTAAAAATAATATTTTTAAAAACTCTAATGTTCATACAAAAAACTTAATATGGTTATTTATATCGAGTGTATTCATTTTAATTTCCCATCTCATCAATTAAAGTAGACAGGTATGTTCACAGACTTTTATATGCGTCGCAACAAAACAAGCCATTAGGTTAACAATTAAATAATATCATCGTAGCAACATTGAAAAATTTATTTGATGAATCAGGTATGTTAATAGGCAAAGTGACACATGCGACACAACAAATTAAGTCATAAATAATCAAATAATATCGTCTTAGCAACATTGTTAAATTGATTTTGGCGGCATTAGCAATAATATGTTGCATGAAAATAATAAAAGGCAACAAGTTGTTAACTAAATTGTTGCATATCAGATTATTTTTAACTGTATGTGAATATTTAAATTTATTCAAAATACCTAAAATTTATAGTGACATTTTGTACTTAATTTTATTGTATTTTTATGTGCAAATAAAAAGAGAATTTAAGAAAACGTTTATAATACGTGATCGCAGTTAAAAGTTTATATATTTTTTAAAGATCCGTACTTACTCTGCTACTGTTCAAAATAATTACAAGTTGAGTACATAGATATTACTCAATTAAATAATTTATTGTAAAGAATTTAAAATATTCACTAAATAAATTTAATATTAAATATTTAAATTTATTACTTTTAAAAACTTAATATTTATTATTAAAATCGCAACACAACATTTTAAAATTTATTATAAATTTTTTTTATTAATTGCTTTTAACCTCATGTCTCTAAACACAAACTTCAACGCTTAATATAATAAGAAAATATAATCAAAAAATTATTTAAAAATTGCATCATGTGCACAATTTTATGAATACACACAAACAATACTTTTAACAAATTATTTCATCATATTGATTGAAGCACTGCCAGACATTTGTTTAACTCATGATGCTGTAAATAATGTAACCTATAATTTTCATTTAAGAATGTTTATAAACATATCTTAATCACAGTGATTATAAATTTTATAAGCAATTATTCAAGAATCTTCAAAGTGTGTCTTCGATTAAAACATTAAAATTAAATGATAATAATAAACAAAAAAAACAGTAGTTAATTAAAAACTTATGAAACTTATTATTTTCTAAACATATTATATTATAAATTGTATATATTTTTGATTATTTATGATAGAATTTATAAAATGGATGTGAATTATATAATTTAAAAAGTATGAAAATTTAAAGCCATGAAACTTCAGCGTTTCACAGTCGTCGCATAGTAAAGTACAGCACGAGTTAGTTAAATGTTGATGAAATTTAAATAAATTTTATTAACAGCGCAGATCTCTGCTAACAGAGCTCACTGTAAAACAATGAACGAAATATCTTTATTAAAAAATCCCTTTGTAATAAGTATAAAAAAAAATAATTAGTTGTTCTATTGTTAAAAAAAGTTTTCGTAACTTTTTGTGTAATAATTAATATTTATGAATAATTAATTGAAATAAACTTTTTAAGTTCGATTTCTTATTTTTTAACGATTTAAATAATTTTTTATAAATTTATGACAAAAAATTAATTTGAAATAATAAAAGACAAAAATAAATTTTGAAATGATGTGTTAAAATATTTTTTTAAAGCATTGAATGCTTTTTTTAAAGCATTTTTTTGTTAAAGCTAATAAGAGATGTAATAATATAAGAACTACTTCATTGATGTACAAAACTGGAGAAACTGCCCATGCTGCAGGACCACCTAGAGAGGTACTTCTGCCGAAGCCTGATAACCAGCTGTTACCGAAACCTGATAACCAGTTGTTATAGCCAAATAAGTAAGTACTTTTACTTAATTATTTGTAAAAAATTTACTATTTATGACCATAATAAAAAAAATATAGTAGAACAGAGAGAAATATGTTAGAAAATTGAGCAGCTTTAGTCGTTACCCATATTATCTAACTATACTACTTTAAAAAAAGACTGAATGGTTTTATGCAATAATTTTATATTATATATAAATTAACAAATCAAGATATTGTATAGCATTTTCAGAAATATAATAATTTTGAGGCAGCATAATGGGTACTATATGCCTCCGAGTGGAAATGCAGACAACTCTCAGTACGCGCCTTCTGAACCTAACCTAACCTTTAAGTATTTTGACACATAAAATTGGCTTTCTAACCCAATATGGGTGGGATCTACCTTTGCAGAAAGTCTGTATATAACGTTACGGTTTAAAATATGTCACAAAAACTCATATAGACACCATTAAAGAGATTTTAAGTCATATGTTTCGACTAAAACCGCTAATTTATGGATATAAATATATTTATGCTAATAATACGAGTATTTGTATTAATAATTGCAGCAATATTTTATAGGCATAATCAAAAGACCGTTCCGTTAAGATAAAAAATATACTCTGTAATTTTTGTATATATACAGAGTGAGAATATTTTACTTTCTATATCTTCTCTAACTTATAGGTTCGTGCTCAAATATATTTTCTTTAACTATAAAATGCAATGAATTTATGTTATTTTATTATAACTGGCTTCGACTAGTTTGTCGTATATTTGGAAGTAATGTTACTAACATAGTAAGACAATGTTAACTTGTCGTGATTGAACAACTGGAAGACAGCCTACAATTACGATTATCTTAACATCCATGATGACAATATACAATTTATTAAATTGGTTAATCCTTATAATAAAATATCTCCAATTGATATAAAAGCTGGGAAAATTTATATTTTGATATATAAAATAGAATAATTTATCATTGCAAAATTGTGTATCATAAATATTTAATTTTTATTTTAAATGTTCAACATTTAAGTGGAATGGAAGATATAAGTTATATATAGTTTTTTTATGTAATCTTTTTAATTATTTGAAATTTATTTATGGGAGTTATATTTGTTAAAAAGGTTATGTAAATATATTTTAGAGTGATTATTTATAATTTAATATAACAAATATAATAATAAAAACTAATCAACAAGCTTTTATTTTTTATTCACTTTTATATTTTATTTATTTTATGTATTAATGTTTTTATTTATTTTTTATTCACAGTAATTTTTTATTAAATACATAATTGAGAAAATTGAGTTCAAAAAATAATGTAAATTGTTAAACTAAAATATATAATATAACACAATTTAAAAAATAACTTTTTTTAAAACACCACTTTTTATAAAACATAACCTTTTATATGTTATATATGAAGTCTTCATATTTTATCTTCATACCTAGAAAACAACAAATTACATTATGAATTGGAAGAAGTCGTAACATTGTAGCTGTCATAAATTTATGACATCATTATAAGTTTGTTGTGAATCATTTAAACACTTTTATTTATTATACGCTGTATTAACGAATATGTCATATACATGAAAGTAATTAAATTTTGGAATAGCGGTAGTATATTACGTCTTTCAGCTTAAATGGCTCACAACTGCTAAGGATCGTTCTCTTAACGCAACCCTTATAAAAGGTCTTGTGTTGAAACTTTATTGGCTCTATGTTTGGAATAAAGAAATTTTAATTCTTTTACTACAAAAAATTACTCTTGTATAGGTTTAAGCTGAAATACAACCATAAAAATATCAACAATTCGCGCTTATGCTATTAGAAATATTTTGATTTTATATAAATTGAAAACTTCGTATATTTTTAAATTTAATATTAATAGAAAGCCAAATTTGTATGTACATCCATCAAGTAAAATATCACAATCTTCGGTTGATATGAATAGAAAAAATGAATTATTTCCCTTCAAGAAAATATTAGAAAATATTAAACATTTTACTAATATTAGTGCAATAATAGATTAAAATTTTAAAAAAAATTTGTGACAACCGCATCTAAAAATTTTTATTGATTTCATCCCCCCACTTAGTAATCTTCTTAAACACTTTTACTCACCACTTTCATTTCTAAACACTGTTAATCCAAAATTCTTCTATTTGTTTTGTTATTCTATGAAATTGTCTTTATCCTTTTCTCAAAGGATTAAATTCACATAAATTCTTTCACTCAAAATGGTTTTTCTATATAAAATATCACTTCTCTATGCACAGCATCACACGAACTCGTCATATATATATGTAAATATATAATTCTGTTTTTTAGTTTTTTTAATAAAACTTAACCAAAAGTCCCCTCTTATTATTATTAATTTAAGTGCAACTGACTTGCAATTCGTTTGCTTACTTAGGCTGCAAGCAATTGTCGAAACTAATGTGCCATCAAACCGCAAAGTTCTCTAGCTTTTATACAAATTTTGTTAATGTCGTTTGGCGCCAAACAAAATCAAATATGCCAAAAGCAAAGTGTTGCCAACTAGTCGAAAAATAGGCAACAAGTGCATGCATTACAAAAACAACCACTTCAATTGTTGCTTTTTTTTCATATAAAATTCACAAATATTTCAAGAATTGAATTTATTAATTTTACTGCAAATACATTCACAACTTACACGCACACTAATATTACAAAAACACTTCAGAAGGGAGGCTGCACTTGGACACTACCAAACTCAGTAACAGTAACAGTAATAGTAACAAACACTCACTCACTCACTTCTACTATTGCAGTTCTCAGCCTTACTTAACGTTTCGCTCAGTACTTGTCTGCGGCTGTTTGCCATAGTCATAGCCAGCAAGTAAAGTAAGAGAGATCTTTAGCACATCATTTTCTGCTGTGGTTTGGAAAAGTTTGCGCTCATAAATTTCAGTTCGATAGATCGCACAGTAACTGCAATAGCAACATCTTAAATTGCTTCTTCATTGTTGCACCATTGTGCTTGCTCAGCGGCAACATCAGATTTTCCGTCTACGGACTTTTAACGCTTGTTTTAGTTGTTGTTAGAATGGTTAAAGCATTTTTAGTTCGTGCAGCACTCCGTTTGAGACTTCTTCACAATATTAACAAACTTAAAACCGATTTCATGGGCGGATGTCAATAAATTTTCAGTTGTTAAGTTTAACAGACTAAGTTGTAATAATTTAACAGCTTCTTTATTGTTGGAAAAAAATGAAAAATTAAATAATAAAAATATTGCAAAATTATTATTTTTTTAACAATGAGTGAAATCATTTTAATTTTAACAATTTGCTAAATACTAAATAGTTAAATTTTAGATTTAATGGAACGCCTACTTTAAACTCACCTTAAGTAGAAACAGTAGTCCAGAGACTGCATGAAATCCTAAATGAACTTAACATATTGCATATATACCTGATTAAGCTTTTCCGCTTTAAGGGTATGTATGTATGTTTTAGAAATAAACTGACATAAGCTTCGTGTAATATTTATTGGTTACCAAAGTTGGGAATAATGTGGGCTTGATTTAAAGTCACATATAAAAGAAAACTTATAATTATGAAACTATTAAAAATTTAGATTTCTGAAGCTACTAAACTATTCACAACCATATGGTTAGGTTATGATTTCTAGGGATACACTTGATAGTCTATTGCATAAAACTCGATTAGTGCATTTTTAGAGAACACTTGATAGATACAATTAATTTAAATTTACACATAGGTATGTATTCATTTTACAAACTATAAAAATACATAAAAACACCATATATATATATATGTGTATGCACCATATATATATGTAAATAATTAAGTTATAAGAAATATAAAACTGTTTCTACAATTGTAAGAAGTAACACATATATATCGATTGGAACACCTCTTATGAAACATTATCACCAACCACAAAAAGAAATTGAATGATCAGAAAATATTTAAAGTCAGTTAGATATGATTGAAAATTAGTTCATAAATTAAAATATTTAAATTAAATTAAATTAAAATATAAAATGAAATAACGTTTATACAAAGATACAACACAGTATATTACCTTGGAATGACTTTAAAAGAAATTTCAAATGGAGAACTTATATTATAAAACTAAAAAAGGTATTAGTTATTTGAAGATCAATCTTGATTAAATTTAATCTTACAGGCATACATAGGTTTCATTATAAGACGATACTGAAATCTGTCTGGACCTAAAACATTTAGTTTGAATCCACAGATCACTAGTTCAGTATCACTAGTCATTTATACATTTATACATGCTGAAATACATGCTTTAAGATATTAATATGAAAAATTTGTAATAAACCAATATATAAGAAAACTTTAAATTGTATCGATTGTATCGTATTAATTTTGATTGGGTGAATTGTTAAATATTAAATTAGGGAAGAATTTTAACATGCATAAGTTATATTATTTATTAATATACCAAATTAATTTAAATCAAATTTAATATATATAAATTGTTGTAATCGCTACAGCATGAAGATTTTAAAAAATCCGTTATTACTACTTTGTTTTGATATATATTTCATAAATAAGAAGTTTGTTCATTATTTCTATATACACTATATATGTGTTATTATTTACCCATATATATATACCTATAGTAATCGTTTATATTATTACACTTAAATTAAAATTATATTTTATTCATATTTCTTCCACAAATTTATTATTAATTTACATATATATGTGACCGTGTACTTCTAAATTCACTTTTGGGTCATGGACTCACAGACTTCCTCCTCATATTAATTTCACTACTAACTACACCCACACCTGATTGTTATGTAAAAAGAGAGTCACTAATGGATTAATAAATATTCATCGTTTTCGAGGATGTGCGCAGACACCCCACAAAATACCATCTGAATTTTAATAATCACAGTATCTAATTTAACTAAAGGTCATTATTATATAATTACTCATAAATTTTAAAATCAATTTAAGAAGTTTTCTTAAATATTCTATTCCTAAGCAGATTTACTTATTAGCATTATTTTTATTATAATTTCATGGTTTGCATTTCATTATGAATTTTAATATTTCATTATGAGTTTGAATGCTGCATGAATTGTGGCATAGAAACACACCATAATTCTTTTTTTTTTTTTTTTTTGAAAAAGTGAAAAAGTAAAGAATTCCTTTTTAAATTTTTGTTAAATATAAATTTTTAAAATCCATAAGATATTTTCTAACCTATCACTTGTCCGGGTATCGCTAACATACATGAAACTAACGAATCAATCAACTTCAACATCTATGTTTTGAAGTATTGTGTATAAAATGTATTATAAACAAAAAAATGTATATGCAATTAATAAATTCTTAGCAATAAACTTTTACCTTAAATAAAAAAAAATTAATTATAAACTTAATTATAAGTTTTTATGCAAACTTAAAATTTTTTGCTTGAAATTTTTAAAATAACTTTTACACATTAGAAATATACTTACATACTTACATACTATATTAGAAATTAATTATTATGCAAAATTATTTAACAGCAAATATTTTATTGAACTTGAAATATTGAAAGTATATAAGTAAAGATGACGATCACACTACTGCTTAATTTTGTTTTTTGTTTATAAATAGTTTATCCGCATCAAAATAATTGTTATTAAAATAAGATAATTAATTAAAAATAAAAATTATAATTAAATATAAAGTTCCGTTTTTGATTTATAATAAAACCATTAAAACGAAGAAATTAAAATTTTAGAATTTCCCAAATATAAATATGCAAATTTTGTTAAGTAAATAAGATACATTCAGAGTTTAGTCAAGCCGAGCTTAGGCAGCAGCGAACTCAGGCCAACAGGAGATCAAGTGATGTAGAGAAATGCACAATGCACATAAATGGAATTCATAATTAAGTTGTAGCAAATTTAATATTCGTAATTTTGAAATACATGTACTGCACTGTTCATTGTGTCCGATGTGCAACTCGATATGAAATCAAGTCTAAAAAAATCTGGTGACAACAGACGTCAAAAGCGAAAATGGGTGGCATTATTTATGACTGCGGCTTGATGCCAAAATAAATTAACGACAATTTTTTGAGGCGCAAACTGGGCAGAAACAATTACAAAAACCAACAAAAATGTACTATTACTGCATGTGCAATTAAGAAGAGTAATGATCACAGTACACCCACCTTTTTAAAATATGAAATATATTTCACAAAATAAAAACAAATATATTGTATCTGAACCAAGAACCAATCGCTCACAATGGAAAAATGCGAAATGAATTCAAGAAAATTCAGTCATCAACCGATTTGCCCAAGAGACTACGCTGGCACCTGAGATGAAATGATCTGAAATTACATAAAAGCGTTGTAGAATTCCGTTTTAATTAACTGAAGTTTTATAATTTGAATAAATATTAACATTGGTTATAAGCACATTTATAATTTGAATTTGAATTTAAATTTAAATTTTTTTAATTGCTTTGATGACAAATTACTTTTGACACATGCCGCGGTTGATGCCACAGTTGATGCCGCTGATGCTATCCAAGTCGTTCTAGCAGATTTTTTTATTTTTGAAATTTTTTCTTTTGTTTCGCTGTGATTTGCAGTTGCAGTTGCAGTTGCATTCGGTGATGTCAATACATTTTAGAATGTTAGTTCAAAATACTCAGCTGCAGCTACAATTAGACTTGACTTTCAATTATCTTAGCACACCATTACTGTTTGAAATAAATGATAATTCACTGAAGGCATCAACAGTAACATCAACGCAAATAGTAAATCAATCCAATTGCCGCGACTTTAACGTGCAATTTTTCGGCGAACTATGAATGCGTGTCAGTGACTTTCGGGTTTGTCAGATTGTCAAATTACAATGTATTTTATTGCCTTTCAACAATTATGAAATATATTTTCAAATGTCAAATAATACAGTGTGGCCTGCTTCAAAACAGCACACACACGAGCATATTAGGTTTATTTTCTGCAATGTGACAAAAGAAGTTCAAGCAGTTCTATTAGACTTGAAACTTTTCAAGTATCTTTTTAATAAATATTCAGTTAATATATATTTAGGTCGCCGATATAACTTTTTAGCAATGCATTTAAAGACATAGAAACGAATAATATATAACTTTTTTTATTATCCCATGCGCGTTGGTAGAGAATACCATAAAGCTTCTGATTCATTTTTCTCTCAAATGTAATGTAAGCCTTTGCATCGTACAGCAGGACAAGTATCTATATTAAGAGATATCATTTTTATTTATCAAAAAAGAGATTTTTGTCTGAATTCTACTCACTCCGAAGCAACTTAAGTGATTCTTTGTTAAATCACTTAAAAGAAGACGTTATTTTTGGTATCCTAGACAAACAAATTCGCTCATAACTTTGAACTTATAGTTGTCAAAACT